CCATGTACAGTGCCGGTGGTTGATCGACAGCTATAGAATGTGAGGATATGCTTTCTTTTGGTTGTGCAGTTTGGTACGGTTTCAGCTGGTTGTAGTGGACGGTGAGAACGTCTGCTTGCGACTGTTGTGGATCGCGTAGCACTTAAGCGTTAGGTGAGCGCTGGTGGACAACAATATGTGGTCCTTGCCATGGTTGATGGAACTTCTGGGATGTACCTGGTACGGAGCTTGGATGATACAAAAGCACTAGATCTCCTCGAGCGTACCTCAAGCCATGGGCTCCTCGATCGTAAGCCGATTTTTGGTGTTGTTGTTCGGATTGAACACTTTCGTGGGTGGTTCGAAAGGCTGTAGAGAGGCGCTGTTGAAGTCCGAGGACGGAATCGTTCATGTCAATCATTTTGGCTGGTGCTAGCGGCGATTGTATCTCCTCGGGTAGGCGTAGCTCGCTTCCGAAGCGGAGGGCTGGGGAGTATTTTATAGATGAATGGACCTGAGCACGGTAGGCTAACAACGCTGTTCCTAGATACTGATCCCATTCGTCCGAATGATCTCGTTCGATGATGGCTTGAAAAATGTTCTTTTGGTCCGTTCGACCGGGCCGTTGCCCTGAGGGTGGTAGGCGGTCGTTTGAGTATTTTTATGCCAAGCAAACGGTAAACGGCATGTAAGATGTGGTTTTCGAATGGGAAACCTTGATTAAAACCAAGAAACTGAGGGACCCCGAACCGGCATATCCATGCATTTACAAACGTTCAAGCATCAGTCTGCGGCAGTGGCACGGCCTCACACTACTTAGTGAAGTTATCCACCATTACAAAGATGTGCCGGTTTCCCTTCTTGGTCATTGGAAGTTGTCCCACAAGGTTGACACCCAGTCGGTAAATTGGATCCGCGATCGAGGTGGGTCTCAGAGGTGCTTTTTGTGCTGGATTCAATCCTTTGTTTCGCTGGCGAATATCACAGTGCCAGCAAAATACGGTCACATCATGATTGATGGTACTGACAGGTAAAGCTGTACTCTTGAAGTTGTTCTTACCATCGGGCCACTTGACCTAAGGGATCTTCGAAATTTTTAAGCCACTGGAGTGAGTGGTGGTCGGTGGGGGCAATGAAAGGTCTTCCTAGTAGGTACAGGCAGAAATGCTTCAAAAAGCAAACCATTGTCATCATCTCCCGTCGAGTTGTGCAATAGTTTCGTACGCGTTTGTCAAGGCCGCGACTGGCATAGGCTATGACACGCTCTGTGCCTGATTGGATTTGCGACAGCACCGCCCCAATGGCGAATTCGCTGGCGTCGTTATCGAGAAGGAAAGGATCTATAGTCGGTGTTGTGTCCAGTAATGCGAGGATCGGGGGTGTCGTAAGAGCCGTTTTTAATCTTTCGAATGCAGTGGCGCTTTCGTTTGTCCACAAGAACTTTCGTCCTTTTTCCGTGAGTCGATGGAGGGGGGGGGGCAGCGACGGCCGCGAAGTCTCGGACGTACCTTCTGTAGTATGACGCCAGGCCAAGGAAAGAGCGAATATCTGCAGATGACTTTGGTACAGGCCATTGCACGATCCGTTCCACTTTGTTGGGGCCTATCTGCACTCATTTTTCGGACAAAATGTGCCCCATTTATGGCACTTCTTTTCGTAGTAGATTACACTTTGAGGTTTCGGGGTTAGACCTACTGTGCGAATCCTGTAGAGTACCTCTTCTAGGTGCCCATTATGTTCCACGATTGTCGCGCCGAAAACAATGATATCGTCCAGGTACACCAGGCATGTTAGCGATATCAGTTTGTCCAGTACTCCTTACATTAGGCGCTGAAACGTCGGCGGTGCATTTGTGAGGCCGAATGGCATTGTATTGAACTCATAGAGACCTGAAAGGAACACGAGGGCAGTTATTGCCCTATCCTGAGGGCGAATTTATACTTGCCAGTACCCTGGCGCTAGATTCAGTGTTACAAAGAACCGAGCCCTGCTGACGGCATCGAGTGTGGTGTCTATTCGAGGAAGTGAGAAGGAATCTCGCTCGGTGACCCCGTTCAGCTTTCGATAGTAAATACACAGGCGAAGCGACCCGTCTTTCTTCTTGACCAACACAATCGGTCAAGCCAAGGGGGATAAAGACGAACGGACAATCTTGTTACGGAGCATTTCTTCCAGCATTTGCTCCAACTTGGCCTGTTGGTGGATTGGAAATCGGCAGCAGGATTGGCGGATAGGGCGGTGACTACCGGTTTCAATGGAATGCTGTTCGTACGGCCCGGAGCGGTGCAATTCACATCAAAAATATCAGCATATTCTGACAATATCGGTATCAACGATGTTCTGTGGTCGGGTATTACCTTTGAGCGTGTCAGAAGAACATCTAACCGATTGGACTGTATTTGGGCAGACGACACAAAGTAATTGTGACCCACTGGAGGCTTCTCTTGACTGTTGGCATCAATTACATCGGACGAATCCGCTGCGATCCCGACCTGGGCGCAGGATTTCAGCTCCTCCGCTGATGTGAATGACACCGCTTTTTGTTGTATGTTGATGTAGTCAATAGGTTAATTCCTTCTATCAGATCCCATACGATTGGCTTCACCAAGAACGTGTACGTTGGCATTCTTACTGCGAACTCCAGCGTTAGGACGACCTTTCCTTGGGAGTGGACTCGAGCGTCATTGGCTGTCACCAGGGAAAGCCCCGGAGTGCGAGTCCGTTGCATGCCCTTCACCAATTCGGTTCGAACTATAGAGAAGGTCGCTCCAGTGTCGATCAACACCACCACACGCTGATCTCGAATGCGTCTGGGAAGTGTAAAAGGCGATGAACCGGAGCACCAGATAAGCAAAATCAGTGGTACCAAAATGTGATCTGGCAGCTTACTTGTTCCCTGTTTGGGCTGTATCGGGGGGTTGTGCCCACAACGTTGGGCCCATCAACCGAACCGAGCACAATACGGGCATTCCCTCCATTTCCGCTCTCGACCGGGAGCTGAGCGAGCGGAGACCCTGGGATCGAGGCTTGGACGTGTACCTAGCGATAGCTCATTGCAGGATATTCTCGCCTGCTCGACGATCTCGAAACTGGTGGCGACCTTCAATGCTTCGTCCAATGTCAGCGCTGGACGACGCAGTAATTGTACCCGAGCTTCAGGGCCATGGATACTCGTGCGAACTCGATCCACGACTATTTTTTCAACCTCCTCCGCAGAAACGCCCAGAAACGTTCGATGCGCCAGTTCCTGCAGCGCTCCGAGATAGTCTCGCACCGACTTGGACTTTGTTTACTTGCGCTGCAGGAAGCGTCCAAGGTAGATGCCGCGGGTGTAGTATCGCCGAATAGCCACCTTACGCGGCTCCATACCCATTCGGGGTCAGTGTCTGGGGGC